GGGGGGGCTGCGGCCGCTGGTGGGGCCCCGGGCGCTGCAGGGGGTGATGGCTGCTCCACTGGGAAAGCCAGTGTCGGACCAGCACAGGCAGCCTACCCTCTCTCTGCAGCTGGATCAGTGTCTCCAGGAGGATTTCCCCATTTATAAGTCCTTCCGCTTCAAGGGCAGCATCGGGCCCCTGCGCCTGCACCTGGTGGGGGCCGGGGCCTTCGCCCGGCTGCGGGAGGCGCTGGGCTCCCCCCTCCCCATGCCCAGGGTCCTGCGGGAGGAGCGGCTGCTGCAGCTCATCCAGAGCACCGTCATCTCCTAGGGCAGCCTGGGGGTCCTGCAGCCCTCCCACCCCTGGGGTTTGCTTAGTGTGTGCCCTCTGGGGAGGGAGCGGGGCCAAGTCGCTGACTGGGGGCGCAGGGGCGAGGGTGCCCAGCCCCAGAAGGTTTGGCTGAGTGGAGCGGATGGAGCCAATGAGCTCGACTGTGCCTCTGCTCCGCGGTGGCGGCAGGCAGCGGGCGCCGGTGGACACCCCACTCAGTGCTGCCCGTAGGGATGGAGCAGGACCTGCAGCACACCCCAGCCCTGGTCCTGGCCCCGGGCACTTGCCAGCAGACCTGGCCCTTTGCGGGGCTGTTCTGGGAGCAGGGTGGGTCCGCGGGCACTTGTGAGCATCACAGGGCATCTGGGTCCTGCCACCAGTGGCCATGGCTCGCCCCGCTTTGCTCAGTGCCTTGGCAGCACCCGCAGGCAGCCGTAGTGCAGTGGGTGCCCGTGCCTTTCCTGAGGGACACCTCAGCCGTCACAGCCCGTGGCCAGTGCCGGGGGGACAGTGCAAACCTCCCCGGGAGCCAGGAGGAGCTGTGGAGCCTTGGGCCTGTGCAGGAGCTCGGCTCAGCCCAGCGCTGAGCTCCAAGGCCCTGTGGCTTTTTGTCCCCTGGCAGGGACACCGCGGGCAGGGCGTGGGGTGGCCAGTGGTGGCAGGTGCCAGCTGTCATGGAGCAGCCCCTCCACTGGGCTCTAGCGCATGTCCGCTGGTTTAGGAAACAATAAGCTCCAGCAAGGGCTGCTTTTAATGTTTAAAAAAACAGAAGCAAAATAAAGGAGGATTATCTCTCAAAAATAAATAAAGGGCAGCACTCTGGGATTGATTTTTTTAGGCTATTATTTTTAATCCTTATTAAAGAGATTTCTTGATGACAGCCCTGACTCTGCTCTGGGGGTTGAGAAGTTACTGCTGTTGTTTCCTGGGGGGTCCTGGGAAAGGGGAGGCCATGAATATTTAACCAGTTCAGTGTCTGGCTGGGGCTCTGGGAGCGTCTGGCTGTTTGTGCCTTTGAGGCACATATGTACCAGGCGGGAGGGACTGGTCCTTTCCCCTCCTGCCTCTTAAGGTTTATTTTAAGCGCTAGTGAGCCATGGTGCTTGGGGAACCTACTGTGCAGGCAGCTGCTGCCGGGGTGGGAGCAAGTCAGGCCGCTGGCAAAGGACAATGTCTTGAACAAGGTCCACACAAAGCATCCCCCCGGCGCAGCCAAAACCTCTGTCAGGGATGGAAACCGGACTAAGGCTCCTTCCCCTATCCCTGCTGGAAAAAAAGCCTGGAGCAAAATTCCTGCTGCAAGTAGCGGAGAAGTGGTGCCTGCGGCTGGTGGGTTGCCTGGCGGGGCTGTGAGCCTGGATTGCTGCTGGCGCGGCTGGGTGCTGGTGCTGGGCCAGCCGACATTGGGTGTGCCTGGCACTGACAGGGTACGGGCTGAGGTTTAGTGGGGAGCAGGGCGGGTGGTGGCTGGATGAAGGCCGGGGTGGTGAAGCCAGGCTCCGGGGGGGTGTTCCGAGGGGGGCTCCCAGGCAGCCCTGCGCTGGCAGAGACCTGTGCAACTGGATCCAGCCCAGAGCGCCCAGTGGAGCTGCTGGTCCCACTGCCTGTGCCATGCACACCAACCCCCACAGGCGCCTGCACCAGGGGCAAGCATGGCCCTTCCCAGAGACCCCACAGTGACCCGGCCCCCCAGCAAAAGCCTCGAGCCCCCGGCTTGGGAGAGCTGTGCTGGCCCAGGGCTTCACAGGGCAGCTGCTGCTCGGCTTGGTGTAGCAGCACCGTCTCTAGTTAGCCCCTGCCCCTGCCCTTGCCTGGGCGCTGAGCCCGCTGGAGGCTGCGGGCTTGGTGGCGGGGGGGCCCTGGGCAGGGCCAGGCTGCAGGGTGCAGGCTCGGTTTGGGTGCTGGGCTGCAGGGTGCAAGGTCGATTTGAGTGCCAGGCTGCAGGGTGCAGGCTTGTTTTGGGTGCCAGGCTGCAGGGCGTGGGCTGGGTTTGGGTGCCAGGCTGCAGGGTGCAGGCTCGTTTTGGGTACCAGGCTGCAGGGCGTGGGCTGGGTGGGGGTGCCCGGCTGCAGGGTGCAGGCTTGGCCCGGGTCCCGCCGGG